ATAACTGTTCTCACCAGGTCTTTTCATTTGTACTCTTTATTTTTGTTAGTGCTTTATGGCTTAGTCTCCTAGACTCTAAATCTTGACATTATCTCTGTATGCTTGGCTTCCCTATCCCCAACACATTCTGGCCCCTGAAATCTGATAGTCCTTCACTCATCAGAGCCTCCTGTGACCACTACCATGTCTCCTGTGTACACCTGAATACTCTTTAGCTGGCCTGTTGGGATTGGGTCCCCATCATCTTTTTTGCTCTACTCCTTTCATCCTAGCTTCATTCTTAAAAGACTGGTGTCTGAACTGGGTGTGGTGGTGCATGCCTGTAATCCCAGAGGCTCTGAAGGCTGAGGCAAGAGGATCCCAAGTTCAAAACTCACTAGCAACTTAGTGAGACCCTGTCTCAAAATAAAAAAATAAAAAGAGCTGGAGATGTGGCTCAGTGGTTAAGCACTCCAGGTTCAATTCCTGGTACTAAAAAAAAAAAAAAGAACTAGTGTCTGATACAACTGATCATGGTACCCCCTCATTCAAAATCCTTTGATAGCTCTCCATTCATTGTCTTTCGAAAAAAGCTAAAACTCTTTGATGTGACCTTAACAAGTTACTCTACCTGTATTTCTAACAACCGCTCTCAACCCTAAACAAAAAAACTCTTTAGGCACAGGGGTTATCCATAATTTCCCAAGCATTCCCTGAAGTTTTGTATATCTTTCTCACACTTTTATAATCCCTATAAATTAATATTTTCAACCTTAAGGATAAAAAAATCATGATAAAACCCACTTCAAAATTTACTTGTGGTATATTCTACAGTACAAACTGTAACTACAGTTTGCTTTTGGACCCTGCCATCCCAGCCCCCAAACCAGTGAGAAACAGGGTAGGAGTGTGGATAGGAGCCCTGTTGAGTGTCTGGCTGCTTTGTTGATTTGGACAATAAAATTGAAAGAAGCACTTTCAGCTTCTAGTGGGACTTCACCTGCTTCATCTGCCTTACTGGTCATGTTTCTGTGAAGACACATTCATTACTCATTCATTGAGTTAATATAAGCATTTATTAACCCTATCTTAGGCTGAGTAGTGAATGCAAAGATTAAGCTCTAGAACCTACTCTGTCATCTTAAATATACCTGGTAGACAATAGCAATTGTCAAAGAAATAGAATAAACTCTCATAGACTTTCACAGGTAAACGAAATCATCTTGGGATTGGAGGAGTCAGCGGTGGGGAAAATTATTGTCTGTCTTTCTCTATGTGAATGCAAACTCTGGGAGGACAAGAATCTTTGTTTTGTTCAATTCTGTATTTTCAGCATCCAGAGCAGAGCCTGGAATATAGTAGGGTTCAATGCATATTTGATGAATGAATGGGTTAAGTGAATAAAAAATTTGTATGTATAAAAAACGTGGGTTGTAACTGAGCTTCTTGAAGGCTGGTTTAATGTCTATTTGCATTTTATGCATTTGCATTTTATTTGGCATCTCTTAGGCACTCCATAAATGCTGGATGATTGTTGAGTAAAGAGATCCCCTAGCTGAAGTTTGTTTTCTTGTTACCCTTTCCCCTAGTGTCATTAGGTATTAGACTTCCTAAAGAAAATGTCTACCAAGTTGAAAATGGTTTTAAGGGTAGGAATCTTTAAGAAACCAAGAGAAAAGTCAAGGTGATAGGAAATGAGACAAAAGAAAAAGGTCAGAAAAATATCATTTTAAGTGTAATTCACTACTGTACGTGTCTCAAAGCACTGGCTTACCTTTACCTTATAGTCAACTGAAATGGAAAATTTGACCATAGCTGGTGACCACATTAAACCATCTCATTAGCAACACTTTTTGATTTCATCCAAGAACCAAATATTGCTCTATAGAAGGCCAAAGCTTAAATTTATTAAAAATATTTATCCATTTCAGAATTAAATAAAAGAGCCCTTGAGCTCGGTCTTTATCTTTTCAGAGGCATGGTCAGGCAGGCTGCTCATCCTAACAGTCTGTGCTATGTAAATGAGAAGGTGCCGGGCTGGGGGGTGATGCTACACTTTGATATTTGGGGAGAATTGTGAAGCAGTGGGCCATCAAAGGTAACATTCTGAGGTCTCAGGGGCACAGGAGTTGAGGGGTGTTGAGAAGAAAGGAAGAAAGGGCCTCAGGGTGTACAGTGATGAGTATAGTTGATAGGATATAAAGGACATAATCCTTTTGGTTACTTCCTGTTTAAGTGTTTAAGTTTAATGTCTCTCTTTGCTCACAAACCTCCAGTGGCATCTCTTCTCCCTCTGTAAAAATCAGACCATTGACAAGGTGTTTTAGGCTGATGGACTCAGGTGACCTCTCTGACCTCAGCCCCCTTGGTCCTTCCCATCACTCACTCCACTCCAGCCTCTCTGACTTCCTTCCTGTTTTCCGACTTTGACAGGGATGATCCTGCTTCAGGCACTTACATCTGCTTTTCCCTCAGAAAACTGCAGGACTTGCTCCTTGCCCCGGGTTTTTGTTTAATATTATATTCTAAGCAAGGCTTTCCAGTAAACTTTATTAAAAATTGCAGTCTCTAGTCTTCCGCACAAGGTGAGACACATTGCTAGCTCCCAACCCCCCAAATTCTCTTCTTCCTTCTGGTCACCTGGATGCCCAATAAAGACTACATTTCCCAGCTTCCTTGCAACTAGGCATGACCATGTGGCTTGGTTCTCACTAATGAAGTGTGAGAGAACTAGTTTATTAACTTCTGCCTTATTAGCCTGAAAGAGAAAAATTGCCTTTTTTTTTTTTTTTCTTTTTAACAATTTTCCCTCAGGCTGAACTCCAGAGATTCCAGTGACCCAGCTTCAACTACACAAATGTAGGCAATACCTTAGGGAAGGGCAGAGTAATGACACAGAGAAAACTTGGTCCCTGAATGACTTTGTGGAGCAGAGAGGTCCTGCCAGCTAGGACAAGACATTTGCAGGAGAAAGAAATAAACAGTTGCTGTATATTTGATAAACTTTCTTACACAACTTTCCTATACTCTAACCTACGCATTTCCTCTATACTTTCCTAATTTATTATTTTGTCCAGCACTTAATACCATCTAACATATGAAATGTTTTGTTTATTTTATTCACTATATGTCTTCCCTAGTTAGAATATAAGCTCTTGTAGGGCACAGATATTTGAGTTTGTTCACTGTTGCATCCCCAGCTCCTAGAATAACAACCAGGTCTTTATAGGTGCTCAATTAATGCATGTGAAATAAAATATTTTTGGCCACTCAAAGTGAAATCACAGCCTAAGCCATGAAGATGCTTTATTAAATTTCAAAAATCTATCTTAGTGCAAAGGGGTGGGCAGGGAGATGATAGGGGAGGGGAGTGAAAACAATGGGAAACCTCATGTCGAGGGGGTAGAGGGAAGGGGTAGGATGTCTAATTTCCCCAGATAAGCCCAAGGGGCTCTCTTATATTTGGGAGAAGGATTCCAAGGCTTCACTTAAATTCCTGAACCTACTGGTAGTGGTTTTTGAGTCAACTCCTAGAAGAGCTTAGTAGGAAGTAAGTCACTTTTTAGAAACGTCAGAGAGGAGACCAAGCATAGATACCATTTTGGACCAGATGAACTTGGATGTTCCTTTCCATCTTGACATTTTAATAGTACTTAAGATATATCTCTTTTGATTGTAAAACACATACCTGGTCAACAAATATTTTTGAGCTTTGTGGATTTGATATCTATTAAAATGAGGTAGAAAATTCATTGAGAAAAAAAATTGAATAATTATTCAATCTGCAGAGGACCATCTCAGAATCTTGGCAACATGGAAAAACGCCCGACTAAAATTTTGGAGCCCTGAAGTACAAGCTTTATCAGGAATGCACTTGTGCTAGAGCCAAAATTTTAAACTTATTCTGTGCAAAGCTGTCATCTCAATTTTACAAATCAGAAAAAGAAAATACTGAGCTTGATTTATCTACTAAAGGCTAATGTATCCTGCAAGAATTTGTTAAAATTACTCTCAGTAAGAGTCGACACGGTAAAAGCTGTAATTTCCCAACTATCATCAGTATGTGAGATTTTTGAGAAAGTCGATAGAAGCACGGGATGATTTGGTAGCTGTACCAGAAACATGGTTTTCATATCCACAAATTGCTAGAGAATAATTCGAGTGCCACTGGTTCTAAAGTGCTGCCGGCCAGCACCACCTCATTATCTCACACGCACCCCTTAATCACCGTGGCCTCAACGAGGGCCCTAGGAGCCCAGCCTGCAGAGGGAGGCCTATCCTGGAAGGAACTGCAGGCGGTCAGGGCTAGTGGTGAGTGAGCACCCGCTGCTAGCTGAGCAAACTGCGCAGGGATCGTGATCGCCAGCCAGGAGAGCTCTCTCCTTTGGAGGCTAGGAGGACAAACACCCCCGAGAACTCTTGGGTTCCGATTCACAGCCCCAGGTACCCAACCTTCTGCTTTGGCACCCATCACGTCCCGCCTCCCTGGGAGAGCGCCTCCTAAGCCAAGATCCGGAGAAGCCAGTATATCCCAAGACAGGCCATGAGTCCTGGCTCACAACGCCTGCAGCTGGCAAAAGAGAAAACACCAAGGTGCGGGGGAGGAACAGAGTGTCTCGGCAGCCTCAGGTTGTCCTACCGGCTCTGAGGAGACACGCAGAGCCTCCGTGGAGATGGATGGGGGTGGGGTGGGGTGTAAGGCTGGGGACGAAAAGGCTTTTGCAATTGACGCCTTCTGCTCCGCCCCTTTTAAGTTATAACCCCGTCGGAGTGAGACTCTTGGGGTGGGGACTGGAGGGCAGTGTCTGGACTCCTCGGCATAGAGTCACCTCCACGGCCGCAGTGTAAGGAGCTGGCGCTCTCACGCGCCGCGCAGCGCGCTGGGGCCACCAGAGGCCGTGCGGAGGCCGCGGCGGGCACAGTGGATCGCGCATCATCTGGGCAGCTGGCCGCGGTCCAGCTCCTAGAGAGACGCGACAGGCCTCTGTGTGTGTGAGAAAAAGCGAGCGAGCGAGAACTACTGCCTGGCGACTCGCGCCCCGACAGGTGCAGGCGCGCCAGCTTCCCATTGGTCGCGGCGGCGGCGGCGGGCCCCTTCCCCCTCCCCGCCCTCCGTTGGACCCCCTCCCCCGCCGCGGCGCCGGCTCCATTCGTGGAGGCGCGCGGCCGCCAGCGCGCGCACCCGGCCGCGCGTCCCTCGCGCCGTCTCCGCCCCTCCCCCTTTCCGCGCCTCCGCCGCGCGCTCGCGAGCTCAGGTAGCGGGCGCGCGGGAGCCTCCCCGGGGGCGCGCGGCCGGCTGCAGTACCCCCCCAAGCCACCCCCACTCCCGCCGGCTCGGGGGATCCTGGGGAGGGAGCGCGCGGGCTGCAGGCGGGGGGCGCTGAAGCCGGGTGCTGCCGTCGCCGCTGCCGCGGCCGCCGCCGCCGAGGCTTCCGTCTTGCTCGCTCGCGCAGCGGCGGCAGCAGAGGTCGCGCACAGATGCGGGTTAGACTGGCGGGGGGAGGAGGCGGAGGAGGGAAGGAAGCTGCATGCATGAGACCCACAGGTAAGACCAGGAGCCCGGAAAGGGCTTTCCAGTTCGGGGAGGCGCACGCAGGCCGGGCAGGGGGAGTTTGTGTCCTGTTCTGCTCCCCAAGGGAGGAATTTTTTGACAGCGCAATCTCATTGGGGACTAGGGCAATAGGACCCTCCCGATCCCAGGGAAAACCAGAGAAGTAGCTGGGGGGAGCCGGTGCCACATTGTGAGATTCCTAAGAGTGAAATGGTTAGGCCCGGGGAAAAGTGTTTTCTCAGCCCCTAGACGCTAGAAGGCTTTAGACTTTCCTGTCATGGTCACAGCCGCTGAATCCCGGGGACCGGCGCAGAGCCAATGTGCGCTAACCCCTGCTCTCCCTCCCCTCCTCCACCACTCCCGCACGCGCAGCATCCCACGGCGGCTGTTACTCAGTGTACCCTGCGCTGGGGGCGGCGGGGAGATCTCGCCGTGGGAAAGGGGGCGGGGGCCTTGCGGGGGTGAACTGGGATGGAGCCCGCGCAGCTGAGGCGCCGGGTCCCAGGGCCGAGGAGTGGGAGCGTAGCCCAGAGCTCCAGCAGCCCGGGGTATTGTCGTGTTCCACTCGTGGTTGCAGACTCTTGCAAGCTGGATGCCCTCTGTGGATGAAAGATGTATCATGGAATGAACCCGAGCAATGGAGATGGATTTCTAGAGCAGCAGCAGCAGCCTCAGTCCCCCCAGAGACTCTTGGCAGTGATCCTGTGGTTTCAGCTGGCGCTGTGCTTTGGCCCTGCACAGCTCACGGGTGGTGAGTGACCCCGCTGTGACCAGAGGGCCTGGGATGGCCATGGCCTGGCAGGGAGGGGAGCCAGATTGGCAGGACAGCCCCGCTGCACACGCCCTCACCCTGTACATCCAGACTTCAGAGATGCCTGAGAAACCCAAGGATTTCTGTGCCCCAGCCTCAGACCTACCCTTTATTCAAAACGCCTGGAGTTCCCAGAAAATTCCTCTGTGGAACCCGCACAGGTTCACACACCCACATTCTGTCTGGAGCTTCCCAGCAGCAGCCCGGCCTGGCTTCTCTGAAGAAAGAATAATAAAGTCTGATCCATTATTCTCACTTTGAGAGAAAGAAGTATGTGTTGGGGAGGAGGGGAAGTGGTGTATTTGTGGACCTTTGACCCTTATGCATGCCCTCAACAGACTGAGGTCAGGTTTCATCCTCTGGATTTAGTCAAGAGTTACAAGATCCATCTTTGGAAATGTAAAAGGTCTGAAAACATGGCCAGACTGGCTGAAGGACAGGTTTATTTGAAAGTTAACTTTCTCTTTCTTCAGAAAGTAGTGTGTTCAAGCATGTCTGCATGTTGGGGGTGGGAAGGGGATGCAGAGCTTTTTCTTCTGGAAGATTGCTTAGTTCATCTAGGTCTGATTTACAGGGGGAAGCAAGTCAAGTGCTCTTCTATAAAGTGGAAGTTTGCTGAAATAAAATTGATAGCCTCAGTCTCTGTAGGCAGATAATCTATAACATACTTGGGTTTGAGGGATAGGGCTATCTTTTGGTTGTGGTAGAGGAAGACAAATGGAGTTCCTGTCTGAATTTCAGAGCCTAAGCATGTCCCTGCCACCCCTACTTACTGCTGTCCATCATTGCTGTCCATTCCAAATTTTTGCTGAGGGCATGCTGATGTGGATGTTAAAAGGACAGAACTGTGTTTCCAGAGCTGAAATACTATTAATATGTGATTAAATTATTGCCGATTGAAAAACAAGTATTGCTTGGTATAAATAAACCATTCATGTGTTTGAAAATATTGCTGTTTAAGAGAATCCAAAGATGAAGATGGAAAAAATGAATGAAAAATTAGCCAAAGTGGGGGAGGAGAATAGCAAATTGGTCCCTAATTCAGGCATTCCATTTAGATGTGTGAAAGATACCTGGAACCTTAAAGTGTTCGTTGTGATGTGCACATCTGTCAGAATTAGGGAGAAAGTATTTGCTTTGGATATGGACCTGGTTTTTGTTTTGTTTTGTTTAGTTTTATCAAGAAGTAATTTTTTAAAAATAGAAATGTCTCTGAGACAGGCATCCTTTTCATAGAGGACAAGGTCCAGTGTGAGGTCTGACCAGTTTCTGTGTAGTCTGCCAGGGCTCTGGTCAGAGCTTCTGCCCTGCCCTGATCACTAACTACCTCTGCTTCACTGGCAAGTAGAAATCAAGGGACAGGACACCAATGGGCAGGACTGGGCCATTTCCCCTCTCCTCTTCTCTTGCCTTTGAGTTCTAACTTTCATTCCTTCCAACTAGGTCCACATGATTTACCCTCTTCCTGGTTGATGTCTCTCATGTAGATAGATGGCAGATTAATTAATCAGAATTTATCTATGTATGTCTTGTTATTGGATGTGTGAGGTCTGAGCACAGCCTGGATTTAAAGATTATGATCTTGGTCCCTCCCATTTGTATTTATTACACTTCCTTAGGACCCAGGGCAGAGCATGCCCTTCAGACTCTCCACTTACCTGTGTAGTCCATAGGGAGGTTCTTCCCCCACCCCCCACCCCCCAGAGAGGAGTAGATTAAGCAAAGAGATTCAGACCCTTGGAAAAGGGAGTGGGAATAAGAGCTGTCTTTTACGTCCCAAGTTCAGATCTTTCCCTTTAGGGAAAGGCTGGCCAGTAGCCTTGTTTCACCTTGAACTTCTTTGGGCAGAGAGTATAATTTGTTGAAGAATGTTTATCATTTTAGAATTCCTCTATGAATAAATAGTTTGGACAGAGAAGGGTGGTGGGGGACATTCTATGGAGTTCACTAAACAGAGATTTTCTTTCTTAGGAAAGAAACCCACCTGAGGTGTCCAGGATGACAATAAAAGCAGTGTTACTTTAGCTCTAGACCTATGCTCCCCAAACTTTAATGTGCACACAAGTCACCTGGGATCTTGTTAAAAGGCAGATTCTGATTCCATTGGTCAGCTGGGGTGGGGCCTGAGATTCTACATTTCTAATAAGCTTCCAGATGAAGCAGTTCCTATGGGTCCCCAAACCATTCTTTGATTAGCAATGCTTTAGACTAAGACATTCCATAAGTAAGTTGCTTCTGATTCCAGACTCCTTGCCATCATTCTCAATTACCAAATGCAAATGGCCTGCGAGGGAGCAGAAGTCTCACCCAATATCTAATCTTTTGGTGATACACAGAACTGAAAATCAGCCCTCAGAGAGTGCTTTCTTTTTTTTTATCCACAAAAGGTACATATTTAATAGACCCTGTTCTGAAATGTGGATTTTCATTTTTGATTGCTTTCAATGGAAAAGGAGTACCACAATAGTCTCAGCTAGGAGGGAGAAAAGCATGTGCCCAATATAAGTATTACAGAAAGAGCTTGAACTAGAAAGGGAGAAATTGAGAAAATAATGAGAAAAAGGAAAAGGCTGGGGGAGAACTCCATCAAAACCAAAATGCTTTGCCCTAGAAATTCAATTTTCTGAGCCTTTTGAGAGTTTTCACGGGCTTGGCTTGACTTGAAGTGACTTCTAGGTAACTCTCTTCAGGTTGTCTTTTCTGAGTTAAGAAGAAGGGCCCTCCTTTGGGGCCATTAAAACCACATACCCTGAGAGGACTTTTACTAGGTTTATAGGGAGGTACAGGACATGGCTGTTTCCACATTCTCGAACCTTTTCTTTTTATGCCCCAGTTAACCTTTCCAGAAGATATTTGGTTTTGAGTGGTTCCCTGTATAGTCACCCAGGTTTAGAGGATGGGAGCTAAGAGCTGGCTCCTTGAAGGTGAATTTCCTGTTACCAGGAGCTCAGGCTGGGCTCTGATACTTGATAGCTTGTGGTCTTGGGTCTTAGGAGCTTCAGTTTCTTCATCTATAAAATGAGGACTATGATATCTATCTTAATGAGAATGATGTGAGAGATGGAAATCTTGTAGGTACTCAGTAAATTCAGGAAGTAGTAGGGAGGAATTGTACATCATGTTCTTTTTACCTAGAAGACCCCTTTCTTACACTTCATTTCCCACCCCATCCCCAGAAAACAAATTTTTCTTGCCATACTGTCTTTCTTATTTCCCTGGTCATTAAATTCTGCCCTTACCTGGACTCCTGTTGCCCTAGGTTATCATCTTCTATCATAGTATCGTCTCGTCTACTAGACCATAAGCCCGCTGAGAACAAGAACTTTGACTCAATTCATTTCTATGTCCCAGGCACCCAGCATAGCATCTGATTAATAGTAAATGTTCAGCTAATATTGGTTGAAAGCAAGAAAAAAATTTTCCAAATTACTACCATACCATCTAGGAAATAATTTCTTGGGTGGGTTACAAATGTGCAAAAGTTTCATGATAGTTGAGGCCACCTCCAATTGTAGTTTTTCTAGGTTGGTGGTTGGTGAAAACATTAGGAAATGTCCCAGAGAAGGAGTAGTACTTAGGATGAGATGACTGGAAAATCTCAGGGGCAGGCATCTTGTATAATGATGGGGATGTGGTTATGTGCCTGAACTCTACAGGAAACAGTTTAGTCGGGTTAATCTACAGCATAGTCTACTTATAGGGAATAGTAGAGTAGAAGGAAAAATA